ATAAAACTGTAACTTAAAAGCATTAGGCAATTATCAGCTGTTGCTACTGATAGTTCTGTTTTAAAATAGAAGCCAGAATGGAAGATACTTATTAAACAACTACCACATCTGGAATGCAAATGACAGCAGCAATGAAAGTCAACAGTGAAATATTTGAAGTATGTATAAGAGGCATGGATGACTTAAACAAGTGCTTTTTTCAAACTGCACAAGCTATTATAAGTACCATATTTTGTATGAATGAATTAGTAAAGCATAGAAAGAAGCAACATATTTTATAGTCTTGGACACGGGTTATATGTTAAATTATGAAAGTCACTAAGAACTCCAATTTACTTATTTATTTTTATGTATTCAATTTGTATGGCCTCCCATCTCAAACAGGTGATTCTGGATGGCGAATAATCATAAAATAAATTAACACCAATTAAAATCACAATGCAGAATGAAAAATTGTTACTTTTGATTCAGGTGACATCCGAAATACAAACCCATGCTTAAATTACTGAGAGGCAGAGATACTATTATCCAAATCTAAGGACAATCAAATGATAGCAAATCTTGAGAAATGCAAATGTTTGCAAGTTCAAACGTAAAGCTGTACTGCTTAACAACTGGTCTCCTCACAAGTTATTCAGGGATAGAATCTTACAAAAATAAGGATATCTGGATCCAACAGTCCTCAGTTCTGATTAGTTAGTAATTGACGTCTGCTAAGCTATGATTTGCTTGATACACAGTTGGGTTGTGACACAATGACTGGTCCTAAATAACTTGTGATTGTAAGCCACCCGGAGTTACTTAATATGGGTAGCCATATAAATCTTTTAAACCAACCAACAAACCAATGAACCAATTAATCACCCAGTGAACTTCCATGGCTCAGAATAAACATGAAGTTGGGTCTCTGTTCTGCCAGCCCAGAACCTTAAGCATTATTGAATCTTTATTTGGACAATGTATAATTTAATTCAGGGAAGCTCAGAACAGCTTACTCCTCCCTGTTTTAATTCCTGTTGCTAAGAAAATATGAAGTTAAATTCAAAAACATTGTCCAAGGGAAATTTTAAAAGTTGCTATAAATATACATGTTGTGAGCCATTGTGTGAAATCTTGAGACAACACTATTGATGGTCTTTCTTTGACTTATGTTCTTAGTCCAGCCAATTGTTTACTATATTTCACTTTATTTGAGACCTTGTTCTACAAGTAGTAAATAAAACAGAAGCCTGTTTCTGAAAAGGGTAAATGTTAACTCACTGTATGTGTTCATTTGGTTCTGTGTATCTTACATGGGACTAAGATTTTAGTGAATGCAGTTCATTATGCAAAGTTTGCAAGATTGGTATATAATTTTGTTGCTGTTTTTGTCCCGGTGTTCATTCACTGTAATTGAATTTTACTCCATGTAAGTTTATGCTAAAATACTTTATTTTTTTAAGATGACCAAAACCTTGTGTTTTTCTTGAAACAAGAAGGCACACAACCACTGTCATAATTCTTATCTGACAGCAATGTTTCTTTTTTTCTAAAAGTCACCTCTGGTTCACTTTATGTCCTTTCCAAACTGCCAGTGTGTTTCTCTTGTTCAAGCTGCCAATGTACTCATCGTTGCTCTATCTGTATAGTAAGAGTTCTATAATAGAAGCCATTATTTCAACATTGTGACTTTTTTGTATGTGTAATTTTTACAGCCCTCCATAGACATTTCAAAACATTGAAATGTAAGGCAAGTAACAAAGCAAATGAACTCTTACGGGAACCAACAGTTGTGTGACTTTTTTCCCCCAAATGCCTTACACAAACATGCCTTATCACTTTTGAAATTGCTTCAGAATAGGACATTTTAGAGATTTCCTTATGAAATTTATATCTGTCACAATCCAAACATTCTCTTAGCATCCCACAGTAATTACAAGGGGGAGGGGGAGCACTGAAAGTAAAACATCCATGATAAAACCTAAAATAAAACAATAAACAAAATCCTGACCTCAGTAATTCCAGATCATAAATCACACATAGACATCCTATCATTCACCCTAGACTCTATGGAGCAACTTTATTTTCAAAAGTTTCCAGACAGCCAAAACTACAAGGGCCAACATAATTTCTCATGGGAAATTATTCCATAGCAGTGCCAATGAGCCTCTGTTCCATATCCATTCAAATGCTGGTGACTGGGGATCACCAGCAGTTTCTCAGTTTCAGCAGAACATGCAAGCTAGATGTGCTGCTTGTAAATGGAGACCAGAATGCCAAAGTTAGAAATATTGCCCAAGGATCTGCTGATATAGTCTACAGAGGAATTATTTAGTCTGTCATTTGTATCTCAACAACTGTCTGATTTGGTACAGCAACCAAACAGGACAGGTACAAATTTTAACAGATAGTTAGGACTGCATAAAAAAGAATCACAACCAGCCTGCCTTCCATTGACAATCTGTATACTGCATGAACCAGGAAGAGGGCAGAGTAAATATCTACAGACCCCTCACATCCTGAGCACAATCTACTTTAACTTCTCCCCTCAGGATGCTGCAATAGAGCATTGCATGCCAAAACAAGTAGACACAAAGCTAGTTTTTTCTCCCATGCCATCACTCTGCTAAACACATAATTCTCACAGCATTATCTCATTTCTCATCTTTTCTCATCCTCTCATCTTTCCTACTGTCTTCTTATGATTTATCAATTGCTGTTTGTAACTTGTAATTATGATTTGTGATCTATGATTTATTATTTACTGTTTATATATGCATTGTGAGCTTATGCACTGGAGACAAATTCCTTGTGTGTCCAATCACACAATAGAATAAAATAGAATTCTATTCTATTCTATTCTATTCTATTCTATTCTATTCTATTCTATTCTATTCTATTCTATTCTTCTTATTGAGCAAATTTTGAGGGGGTTGGTGCAGCAGTGGTATTTGCCACCGCCACCTGTCACCGCTACAGCCGTTTGCCGCTGCTGCGGGATGCTGGAGCCTTTGCTGCCAAGCAGATGATTGGTGGTTGGATCAGCCTCCTGGAATACCACTAATCAGCTGTTCTAGCCGCCTATCACCGCTGATCGTCACCCCTGCCTATCAATACCATTCACCACTGCTGCCTATCACCGCTGCTGCTGTTTGTCAGTGGCAAGCGGTGGTGATTGGCAGCGGTGGTGGTGAATGGCAGCGGTGATCAGCAGGTAGAACAGCTGATCAACGGTATTATGGGAGGCCGATCCAACCACCGATCAGCTGCTGGGCAGCGAAGGCTCCAGTGTTCCCCAGCGGTGGCGAATAGCAGCAGCAGTGATAGGCAACAGTGGTGACAGGCGGTGGTGGCAAATGCCACTGCTGCACCAAGCCCCCACCCCCCTGCCACAATATTCACTCTATAAGATGCACAGACATTTCCACCCACTTTTTTGTGTGTCTTACAGTGTGAAACATATGGTAGTTTGGCTAAAAAATCAAAGTGAATTTTGGCCAATCCACTGATTTATTTTCATTGCTGTTTTCTAGTAACCTAGTAGCTTTGTAGTAGCTTCTTTTCCATGAAAGAGCAAAGTCACCCAAGTTATTGGAAGGTTACAAAAGTCATCTAAGCAGCCAACAATGAAAATTTAATTAACTGCATTAAATACCCATTTCTAACATAGTCAGTTTAAGCTAATTATGCATTTCTGAATGACTAGTTATATTATTGGGATGGGAGGTATAGACAGAGTTCACTATGGTCACAGACAAGAATTCAAAATAAAACATATTAAAAATAAATTCAGTACAAATACACAAAACAGAATATTGAAGCATTCTAAAGTTAATATTCTTTGGAATTTGGAAACAGTTACATAATGCAAATATCTTGTCGATTTGAAATTGCAGGGGGGCGGGTTTTGAATGTTCAGGAAAACATTATTGTTGGAATTTGACTTTGACATTTAGATTGAACATGATTTTATTTAAATAGGAAGTTGTACATGGGCCTACGAACCATATTTGTATATTTCTTATGAATATTGGTATTTAGTTAAGCAGCTTCCACTAGTCTTTATGACAAGCCATTCTCACATTTCTGTCCAGCTATCTTTTCAGTGATTGTGGGTATTGATGACTTCCTAGTTTATTTGTGGGACAAGAAAGCAATTAATTTAAAGACTTTCTCCTCTCTGAGGGCACCTCTCCAGGTTGCCTTACTGCTAAAGTCTGGCTGGTGTAGTCCTATTACAGTTGGCACTAAGTTTAGTTAGCTTTTGGTGTTAGCTAAAGAGCTCCTTGCCAAGACTTTTGGCTGAACTTCTGCTACTGTGTCATTTAGCTTGTTTCTGTCTTTTGTTGTCATGCTGCTACTGTATGGTTTTCATGTTTGTAATTTAGTATATAGTTTTAATTTTTAAACGGTTTGATGGATTTATCTGGTTTACTCTAATCCACTTTATTTCTGAGGAATTGTGAACCAAAATGATTACTTATAGGTGTATAGATTGCTATTTGCTTCCAGGAAGCAAAGGCATTTGCAGAACCAAGATATGTAAGGCACTGTACATCTTACACTTGTTTGCATACTCTGTATGGATAAAATGTTTGTTTCCCTAGAAAATGCTGGTACAACTGTTTGCACATGGTTCTTATGAAAATAAACACAAGAAGCAAAATGAAAAAAGTAAAAACATTACATGCAGTGCTTCCAGTGTAAGTCTCAGATCAGACTGAAAGTGATTTATGACAAGAATTTTCTTGGCATTCCTGAAGGGGCTTTTTTCCTGATCACAATGATAGTGATGTTTCATTGTATAATAAAATGAATCATTCAAGGTTAAAATGCAGAAAAATGGCACAGAGGCTGATTAAAAAAAGTAAAAACCATTCAAGTTTTGGTAGTGACTCCTTAAATTGGAATGTGCTTTATAGAGTCTACTCACATGTAAGCCAACACAAGTCTTTCTAAATGTTATTGTTTCTCTCTCTTTCTCTCCCTCTTTTCCTGTTACCCTTCTCTCTACTCTGCAGATTTACACTGACTGGGCTAATCATTATCTAGCAAAATCTGGCCACAAACGGCTGATCAAAGATTTGCAACAGGACATTGCAGATGGAGTTCTACTAGCAGAAATCATTCAGATTATTGGTAAGTCCCATGCATAATCTGAGAGCTGACATCTGGGTTAGGATATAAAATACAACAGAACTAGAACTAAGTGTTGTGAGAGATGAACATTAGATAGTTATGATTCAGTCTCTTTATTTCTCTTCTCTATACTTATTTTCAGAAATAGAGGCAATACTTCTAATTTTTTTAAATGTTCAGAAATTTTGATAAGGATTTGTCTGAATCTATTTGTATGTGGTTCATCCCCTTTATAGCCCAAGGACTGTGTTTCACACACTTGGCAGACTAAAGTGAATGCTTCATTAAGCCATGTGTCTCCAATGTGTGCATTTTATTAACTGGAGCGGTTTATACTTTCTGAGATGACTTGAAACTGTATCTTGATCCCACAAAAACAATTGTGGAAGATTTCATGTCAGCAGGCATTTGGCAGGGTCTGGAGAATTAGCAGCAATGTTCTCTGCACTTTCCCTTTGCATGAGGGAAGGAACTGCCGCTAACAAGAAAGACTGTTATTGTACATTTCAGCCTGCTGAGAGCAAAGTTCAGTATGTGCAAAATACTTGTGTGCCTATTTGCTTTGTCTCATCTTGTCTTGTTGCCTATTCTCAGACATGACTTTTTTTTAAAAAAATTCACTGCTTTCTTTTAGCAAATGAAAAAGTTGAAGATATCAATGGTTGTCCTCGAAGCCAATCTCAAATGGTAAGAATTAAATGTATGTATGTATGTATGTATGTATGTATGTATGTATGTATGTATGTATATGTGTGCATGTGCACACACTTATTTTATATATATTTATACTATAGTATATTGATAACTGTCACATTTGCATTATACTGAATGTATACTCCTGGAAAATACATATCAGAAAATTGTTTACGGGATATCAAGAACTTAAGGAAGAAACATCATTGATACTTGCAAATAGATTGTCAGTGTGTTCTTTTCCTAAACTTCCGTGTCTTTCAGATTTATACAGATCATTTCATTTCAGAACTGCCTTTAAAACAGTAAATGGCAGGACCAATTTTAAGTGGTGTCTTTGTGTCTGGACTATTGGTTTGAAATATGGGGCTTGCCAACTTTTAATGAATATAAATAGTCTTTTTACTTATCCACAATATAGTCCAGTGAAATAGCCTGACTGCAGAGCACTTTTTGAATCACATGCTATTCCTGTTGGAAGAAATGAACCTACAGAATGCATTGAAATACAGTTTATCATCTGAGGGAAATTCATCTATTATCCAGAATGAGTTTTAATTTTGGTAGCATTTTAAAATTACTAACATTTATGATTATAACATAATGGAAATGATACTTGGATTTTTTTTGTCACTCTGTTCCTTCAGTTAATCTACTTTATATTGTTGCTGGGTTTTTTTGTTTGATATTTTTAAGCTTCTATTGATTAATTTTAATTGCTTAGATATTTCATCTGTTAACCACTGTTTAGGTAGATATTTGAGAAAGGAGCCTGTTACATTCATTCTCTCACAGGAAGCTACTAAAATTAACTCTTCACTGCAAGAAGGTGAAGAGCTTCTTGCTTGCTAAAGCAAACTCAACAGTAGCTGTTATCTTCTTTAAAAAATTATTTATTCAAGTAGTTTCTGCAACCTTGCTTTTTTATCATTTGTATTTTCTCAAGAAGTCTTACAAAATAGGTTTTGCTCCCACTGTAACACTGCATTACATCAGAGGTCAATAATATATTGCCAATAGATGTCAATAGCAACCTTTATTATTATTAAGCCATTTAAAAAATAAAAACAGCTGAACATTGATAAGACTCCAAATCTCATGAGATGTGAAAAGAAATCTCTCTTCACTTAATAGGGATAAGGGATTTCAGAATACTTAGATATTATTGTGAGATTCCCAAAGGTGCTTTTCAAGGGCAGCCTGACTTTCTTCTTTTTCTTTGATATGTTATTATGAGAGGTTTTGGATGGGAGGGAGAAGTAAAATTGCTGTAATTTCAAATATCATGGAATTTTGAGTCCCTGTCCCATTGCACAAGCATTATGCAAAACTTCCTGATATCTGGAGAAAATGCCAAATTCTTGCTTTTTTGAAAACATAAGATGATCTCTGCAAATAAAGAGCCAGTTTAATGGACTGATTAAAGTGTAGGGAAATGATTGAAAACACCTAGTTTCAAGTCATTCTTAATAACAGAGACTTGCTGGGTTACAGTGGACAATCAATCATTGTCAGCCCATGCTACTATACATGTTTTTTGCTATGTATACCACCATACAGTCTTTTTTTTTAAATAAAAAAAATCTTAAATGTGATATAATATTGTTGTTCCTGATAAGAAAAAAAGATTTTTAAACCTTCTGCATCAAAAAGGTCCATTTTCTTGCCCATCATGATCCTATTCTTTAAATTGTTTTTCTATAGATGTGGATTACAGTTACTAATGAGCTATGATGCCGCTGGATAACTTTGATTAGATGATGTATTAAGATAGTAAAATTAAAACGAAGCAGGGGGATTTCAAGAGAAGATTCCCAAAGGATCTGTCAAAAGTAGATTAATGAATGTCAACATTTTAATGCAGCTAAGGAGAGGAAGAAGAAAGTATTCAGAAAATTTTGGAGTCATAGTCGATAAGTCAAGGAAAATTGCCCAAAGTCTAGCCGCCATAAAATTCTATGTCTGGAAACATTGAAAGAGAACTAACAGAAATGCAGCCAATATTATGATGTCCTTATAAATCTACTATGTGACCACATTTGGAAATAATGTATGCAGTTTTAACTATCACACTTGAATATTGTATTTAATATTCTACGAAGTCTACATCAGTGTATTTATTGAAGAGTTGAAAAGAACCCTTCCACCCAAAGGGCAATCAAAACAATTTCAGTGATAGAGCAGCTTATCCATTGAAAAAGACTATAGCATCAGTAATTCTTAATTACAAAGGGGATATGAGGATACTCAATAGACAGCAGGGAAAGGAAAATATAGATTTTGTCCAGCAGTTCTACTGGCTTTGTTAGTATTCTTGGTAATTTTTTTTTTTTTTTTGCTACCTTCAGAATCAGAAGTGGCATATGTTGAATACTAGCTGCCAAGGAATAACAGTGATAAGAGATAATCATCTTCTTATTAAGTCTTCTGAATACAGCTGATTGAGTATTAAGAGATAAATTGTTGGCTGTTCCAGCAGGGTTTTTTATGAACCTCTGGCTTTCCAAACATTGCTGAGCTACGTTCCCTGCATCCTTCACATTTTATTTGAGATGCTAGCACAGAAATAAGGCTAATTTTATAAATACTTTCCATAGCAAATTAGCTTTAGACACATTTTTTACTTTTTACATCTTTGGATGCTTTACAATAATTTTTTCTTTTCGATTTTAGTATCTTTGTATACAAGAACAGGTTGCTGAGTGGGAACTATGATACCAAAATGGCATACAACAATAGGCATATTAATATTAATATTATTGTCTTTTTTGGCTTAAAAATTGAGAAATTAACATTTTTGAAGAAATGTTTTGGGATCTGGAAAAACTTAAAAATATTGTGTGACTTTTGTGCAGTGAGTCTGCTTCTTATTAAAGGAATATTGTCAAAGTTAGTCATCCGTAGAACACGTTGTTTTTCAAAGGAAACATTTAGCTTCAGAAAAGCCACATCTTCAAAGTTCTGCAGATTAAAGCAGGAAATGGCCAGATTTCAAGTTAACCTTCTAATATTGATGATGCATTTCCCAAGAGGGTTACTTTTTGTTCAACAACAGAATTACAAAAATATATCCTATACCTCAGTGGTGGGATTCAATTTTTTTTACTACCAGTTCTGTGGGCATGGCTTGGTGGGCACGGCATGGCTTGGTAGGCATGGCCTAGTGGGCGTGGCAGGAGAAGGATACTGAAAAATCTCCATTTCGTCCCGATCAGCTGGGACTCAGGAGGCAGAGAATAGATGGGGGCAAGGCCAGTCAGAGGTGGTATTTATCAGTTCTCTAAACTACTCAAAATTTTTGCTACCAGTTCTCCAGAACTGGTCAGAACCTGCTGAACACCACCTCTATATATCTATGTGCACACAGAGGTCTGTCTCCATATTGAAATGGTTTCTGCTGAATGAGAATGGCAAAGCCAACTAATGCTGTATGCTGTCATTAATTAATTTGATCCTCTGAATTTCCAATCAAATTATAAATTAAACAATTCAAAATGTAACAACCCAGAAACCTTATTAATACAGTCCAAATCTGCTCTTTTTCCCTTAGCTTTTTCTAGGCAACAGTACCATCCATCATACAAAGCATTTTCAGATGCAGCCTCTTTGACAGTCTTCTCCCATCTGGTATCCTTCAGAGATAGTTGAACTAGAACTCCTTATATACCCAGCCAGCATCCTTGGTAATAATTGCAAGACATCTTAATTTCCCCACAAGAATACAGGATAGATATAAAAAGGTAGTGCAATCTCTCCTTTAGTTTTACTCCAGATCTCAACATACCCTATACAGGATTTAGGTCATATAAAAATCCCTTTGTAGTATTGTATGTCAGTTCTTTCATGTTTCAGATGAAATTGTAAACATCGTAAGTGTGACCAGAGAGTGTACCTTCATTATAAACTTGGACTGACTTCTCTTTCCATCTGTTGCATGTGTTTCTCAATCTGAAAAAGATTACAATACTAAAGGTGATATATTCAGATTCATTTCAGTGCATAGAATTTGAATTAAAAATCAGTTTCTAGTCTGTATCACTTCTTTTCCCTCCCATTCAGTTCTGCTCTTTTTCTGCATTAAGCTATTACATCCATATATTGTATATCAAAATATGTACAACAATGTATTTTCACTTTGAAGTTGTCATGGATGAGTAAATTCTTGAGAAGTATTTTTAATAAAAAAATTGGAATGGAAATTAATAAATTTATTTATTAATGAAATTTATATGCCGCTCTATCTCCAGCCGGACTCAGGGCGGCTCACAACAGTTAAGAAACATCTAATAAAAAGTTAAAAAATTGAATCCAAATCTCATAATTTAACAGTTAAAAGTACAATTAAGACTAACAAGTTAAAATTAAATTAGAATTAAAACCCCACCAGTTCAGGCTGGCCAAATGAAACAGCCACGTTTTCAGGTGTCAGTGGAAAGAGTGGAGGTTGGGGGCCACCTGGAGCTCCAGGGGCAGTTCATTCCAAAGGGTAGGTGCACCCACAGAGAAAGCCCTCCCCCTGGGGATCGCCAGCCGACACTGTCTGGCTGACGGCACCCTGAGGAGGCCCTTTCTGTGGGAACGCACCGGGTGATGGGAAGCTGTTGCTGGCTGCAGATGGACCCCCAAATATCCCAGGCCTAAGCCATGTAGGGCCTTATAGATAACCACCAGCACCTTGAATCTCACTCGGAGGGCAACTGGCAACCAATGCAAGTCGCGTAGGAGAGGTGTAACATGGGAGTGTCGGGATATTCCCATCACAACCCGCGCGGCCGCACTCTGCACCAGCTGAAGTCTCCGAGTGGTCTTCAAGGGCAGCCCCATGTAGAGGCATTGCAGTAGTCAATATGGGAGGTGACAAACGCATGAGTAACCAGGCGTAGGGCAATCTAGGTCCAAATTATTATATGTATTATACCTCTCCCAATTACATCTTGCAGAGTTGAATGAGGGATGCATTATAGCTATGAGACTTATTACGAATACTTGTTGTA